CTCCCCCTCCCCCTCCTCCTCCTCCTCCTCCTCCTCCTCCTCCTTTCATTCAGTTCTTGAATCTGGGAAAGTAAGTCAATAACTGGCTCACACACGCACCAAAGGGGTTCTCTCCATGGTATTTATTATCTACAGGTATTTAAGTATCTACTTTCAGATTTCCTTTTTCCTTTATGTATCTCCCTCTGAGTCAGTGAAAGAAGAAATGTGGGGTTTTGTCCTGTTAGCTCTGCAGGGTCTCTATAGCTGACCTTTGAAGACTACATATCCCAGAGTACCTTGCAGTCTGACTTCCAGCCTCATCAGCCAATGGGAGACCCTTTCAGGAGAAGGGAGGGCAGGATCAAGGAAGAAGCCAATGCAGTGTTTGCTTTCTGCCTTGGGCAGGCTCTGGCCAGGACTTTGGTGAATGTTAAACTCTCCACCCTTTGTTCCTTAGTCCTTCTGGTATGAGCAGCCTCTGCTAAAATCCCCGAGCTGCTTAACAATTCCTTTCATGGCTTTTCAAAATTCCATCACTTGTATAAATAATTCCCTTCCTTAAATTCCCTCTGCATTAAATATTGAGTGGTTTTTTTTTCCCCCCTTGATGAACCCTGTTTGATAAAGAAAGTTTCTGAGTCCTTTGGATGTGTGGATGGAGAACTCGGGGCTGTCTTATTTTAGGTTTGGAATTCAAGCTCCATCTCTGCAGAGCTCGACCCTCTTCCAGAGCGGATCAGCAATTCGGCATTGTTGTTGTGGATAGCAAAATGGTTCCCATTGTTCACATAGGTTTAAATAAAATAGCATTTATTTCTACAGCCAGAGCTGATCCTTCCGAGAACTCTCCAGGGATAGGTGAAGCTCGGCCTTCTCTCCCTTGCCTGCTCAATGTTTAATTGCAGTCACAGGCAGCAGTTTCAAGGAAAAAAAAAAATGTTCAAGTCCAAGTTGGAACATGTATTGACCATCTACAATGAGTATACCCTGGGACCCTGCAGTCCAGTGGGCAAATTTCCTGCCTTAACTCACTGAGCTGTTTGTTGGGTGGCCAGCAGACAGCTAGCTGGTCATCAAGCCTGACATGACAGCTGCCATCATTTAAACTTGTTGCTTTTCTTCTGGCTTTTCTAGGGCACTAATATATCCGCCATGCTGACCTTGGACACCAACAAGGTCACAGGGTTCCTGAACCCGGGAAAGTAAGTCAGCCCTCCTTCTCCATGGATGCTTAGCTGGGCTCCACTCCATAGCTGGGGGAGGGAGGGGAAGGAAGTACAATCCTCATCAAAACAGAGGCGAGGGGGTCTCCCCTTTGAGAAGGAAGCAAACGTCATCACTATTGGCTCAATTCTTCTGTCCTGTCGATTCTGTCCCACAAATTTCATATTTGTAAGTAATTCACTAATACTGATTATTCCTTTGGAGTCAGCTGAATTAACTTGTTGTTTGTTACTCAATCTTTTTTGGCCAAACCCTCACCTCATATGTCTCAAGCTAGTATCTCCCTTTTTCAGGGAACCCCACGTGACTCAGGCTTCCTGTGGGTACCATGCTCACTCTGTGAATTGTCTCTGTTTGGTTATAGGCTACAAGTAGAACTGAAAGAATCCAATGTTGGAATGTTCAATGTAAGTCTTGTTTGTATTTACAGCACCAGGTAATTGAGGGTGTTTCCTAAGTCGTTGCTGTTGCACAGAGAATCGGAGCTAGGGAAGGAGAAAACCAGCCCTCTCCCTAGAGACATGGAGGAATGCTCAGGAACACAAGATATAGAACCAAGAAATCCATATCTCCCAATATAAAACAAAATTAAGATGTCTGTTGGAGAGCGGGGAGCCAGTGGCTCGTGCCTGTAACCCTAGCTACTCAGGAGGCTGATATCTGAAGATCATGGTTCAAAGACAGCCCAGGCAGGAAAGTCTGTGAGACTCATCTCCAATTAACCAACAACAAAAAAAGAGTCTCACAGACTTTCCTGCCCAGGCTGGCTTTGAACTAAGATCCCCAGATCTCAGCCTCTTGAGAAGCTAGGACTGCAGTAGTGAGTCACCAACACCAGGCTCAAAATAGTTTTAACTTATAAAATGGCAGCATGATGTAGTTAAGCCTTTGCCCTGTCAGCATGCAGAACCATCCCAGCTCTGGGGTGGCTGTAAGACAAAGTGACCCCGTGGTCACAGTTACACTTCTCTATCTTCCCACCAGGTGGAGCTGTTGGAAGCACTCCTCAACTACTACCTTCTCAACACCCTCTACCCTCAGGTCAACGGTAAGATTCGCAGGGGATTTCCCAGATCTCCAAGAGTGACACGGCTCCTGAGGGGAGGAAGGGAGCGTTGGACTTGGGGCTGGGAGCAGGGTATCCTGAAGGCTGAGGGACCTGGGAAGGCCAGGGGCTTATGGGAAATTACTGTTGGCCTCATGTTTCTCCTGGTACTAGTGAGGGTTGGGGGCCGGGAGAGCTCTTTAAGGCACAGCCACCCCTTCATAAGGGGGAAGGTCCACATCCTGAAAAACTGAGGGCCAGGTCATAGAGAGGGTTGAATTCACATTTGGCAGGAGTCAACTCCTTACCCCCCAAATAAAGCCTTGTTGGGCATGGTGGTGTACATCTGTAATACCAGCACTTAGCAGGCAGAAGTGGGAGGAATGAGAGTTCAAGGCAGGAAAGAGGAGGAGGAAAGGAAGGAGCGAGGAAAGGAAAGAAGGGAGGGAGGGAAGGAGGGAAGGAAAGGAAGGAAGAAAAATAAGAGCTGAGCCCCAGTTCCCTGAGCATCATTTCCTTGGGCTTCAAGGAAAAGCAGGCAGTGGAAGGCAGAGAGGAGTGGCTTCTCAGGAACATACTTGACCCCACACTTGACTGCGACTCCTCCGCCTCCTCCTCCTCCTCCATCTGCTCCTGTGCTTCATAGCTTAGTTTCCCCTGCCAGGCTTCCAAGGTTCGAATCTCAGTTCTGCCACTTTCTAGCTATGGACTAGTGACTTGGCCGTTTGTGCTCCCATTTTCCTTATCTGTGCAATGGGAATGACAACCACACCCCCTTGTGGTCTTTGGTGATTGCTCAGCCGCAACATGCTTGCCTAGAGTTCTGTAGAAAGCGAGTTCTTTGGAAAAACATGTCTGTATTTGTGAGCTCCCAATGACATTGTCCCCTGCAGATAAGTTGGCCAAAGGCTTCCCCCTGCCTCTGCTAAGCCGTGTCCAGCTCTACGACCTTGCTCTCCAGATCCACAAGGTAATCGGGTTCACGGGAGCTTGGGGAAGCTGCTAGCCTGCCAGGCCTGGAGGCCATCACTCAGTGGGTGGGGCCTAGAGGCTGGGAAAGCCTGACTGGAGCAGAATGTTCCAGGGCGTGCTGTGTGTGGAGAAGCCATCCACTTTAGGAGAGACATCCCATCTTAGAACAGGGAGTATTGAGAGCAACTTTGGATTCCACCATGAGGTCCCTAAGGGAACCTCAAAAACGGCTCATTTAAAAAACACCTCAAGCCAGGTGCTGGTGGCTCACGCCTGAAATCTTAGATGCTCAGGAGGCTGAGATCTGAGGATCACGGTTCAAAGCCAGCCTGGGCGGGAAAGTCCGTGAGACTCTTAATCCCAATAAACCACTAGAAAACCAGAAGTGACGCTATAGCTCAAGTGGTAGAGTGATCACCTTGAGCTGAAGAGCTCAGGGACAGTGCCTAAGCCCAGAGTTCAAGCCCCATGACTGACCAAAAACAAAAAACTTCAAGCCAGGAGCCAGTGGCTCATACCTGTAATCCTAGATGTTCAGGAGGCTGAGATCTGAGGATCATGGTTCAAAGCCAGCCAGGGCAGAAAAGTCTGTGAAACTCTTTTCTCCAATAAACCAGCAAAAAGCCAGAAATGGAGCTGTGGCTCAAGTGGTAGAGCTCTAGCCTTGAGTAAAAAAGTTCAGGGACAGGAAGTGGTGCTGTGACTCAAGTGGTAGAATGCTCACCTTGAGCTAAAGAGCTGAGGGACAGTGCCCAGGCCCAGAGTTCAAGCCCCATGACCGACCAAAAAAAAAAAAAGTTCAGGAACAACACCAAGGCCCTGAGTTCAAGCCCCAGTACCAGTACAATAGAAAAAAAAAAAAAAGAAACAAAGTACCTCAAATTCTACACTTACTAATGGGTCAGGTTCTGAAAAATATTGATTGTAAACTATTGTTAGTAATTTCTTAACTCTTAAGCAGATGAGTTATATTATAGATAGATGTTTAGTGTACCTATCTTATGTTAAACAAGTCTTATAACCCTATACACATTCTTTTTTAAATTAATTTACCTATACACATTCTTGAATATTATTTATTATCCCATTGCTCCCTCACCAGTCCTGTTTGGATTTTAGAATATGTATTTCCAGCCCCCCCCCCCTTTTTCAATTTTTGTTTGTCTGGATCCTTGCATTGCTAGTGTTTACTTCTTTGTGTGTGTGTGTGTGTGTGCGCACATATGCTGATCTTGTGGTTTGAACCCAAGGTCAGGATGCTGTCCCTGAGCTTTTTTTTACTTAAGGCTACTACCACTTGAGCCATATAGCTCCACTGGCTTTTTTGTTGGTTAATTGAAGATATAAGTCTCACTTACATCTGTAAGACTTTGCTGCCCAGGCTGGCATCAAACCTCACTCCTCAGATCTCAGTATCCTGAGTAGCTAGGATTATAGGAGTGAGCTACCAGCCCTCAGCTGAGTACTCATCTCTTTCTTTTTAATTTGTTTTAAACATACCATTAGGCTTGGTTCTTGAGTGCGATCTAGTTTTCACCTCCCAACAATAAATATCTACACAGGGTCCTCGCCTATTGTTGTGCTTAACTGACTACCTCCATACCAATAATTATGTCAGTTTTCACCATCCTGATGACTGTTCTGACTGCACCCTTTGTAGCTACCCCTGCCCCCACATTTTAAGTTATCTTTCTAGATAGCATCTGCAGGGTGGCTGGCCAGGCTGGTGGGACATGAAGCTCACAGGAGATGTCCTGTTGGGGCTGGTCCAGGGTTTATGTCAGGAAATGATAACTATGAACATGAATGAAGAAGGCAGGAGTGGCTTGGAACATGGGAATACTGACCAACTGTGAGATTTGGAAAACCAATGTCTAAGGCCCTTTGGGGGCTTCAGATACTTAACACTCGACTGCAGCTGAGTAGTTACAGGGGAAGTCAGGTACTTGTACACAGTTGGCCCCTGAAAAATGGGGTAGGGCCCAGACCTCCCACAGATGTTAATGATTGTTAGGAACCAAGTAGGAAAAGCTTTTAGTTCAATGTTTGGCACCTGGGAAGTAATTAGAAGATTCGTTATATTAACATATTAGATACAATTTTGAGGTCCACTGTGGCACCATGTTGGAGGCAAAGGCCTGGGAAGACCACCCTGGGAAGATTTGAACTTTGTCTTGAGTTCTGAATTCTCACCCACTCACACCCACCTCACCCCCGGGGTGATGTAAATTTAAGATGGGAAGGAGCCACATGAACCCCAGCAGCTCAGGATTTCATGGTCTTTGCCGAGAAGGGAGAATTTAGGTGACACTGAGGATATCGACGAGGCCTGCTTGGGAGGTGTCAAATGGATGTCTACCTGGGAGAAGGTAGCTGGCCAGCTGTGAGGCCTAAGACACTCTGGAGATTTGCACAAAGAACTGGTGTCCAGCAGCCCTTGGGTTTGCCAGGATGGAGGGGAGGGGAAGCTGCCTGCACATCTTTCTGGAATAGAGGATGTTCTTTCTTGTTTGCTTTTGAAACAGTCTCATTGTGTAGCCCAAGCTGGCCTCAAACTCATGATCCTCCAGCCTCCACCAACCAAGGGCAAAGATCATAGGTGCGCCCTGGCTTAGAGTGAACTCTTTACTATCCCTTCCTGTCTCCTTTCTCCTAGGACTTTCTGTACTTGGGTGCCAATGTCCAGTACACAAGAGTTTGAGAGTCAGAAGAAAAACAGGTCTTGGAGGCCACCGCTGGATGGGCCTGTTTCGTTTCCAGCTGTGTGGCACATCTCCAGAGCATTTCAGAAGACAGGGGTATTTCTGTTCTCAGCTCTGAGGAGCTCTGCCCTCTTCCTCTTCTTCATCCAGTTTACCCACCCATCATCTCCCTGATCCAGGACTCAGTCTCCTCCAAAAAGGACCTTCTCTGAACTGACCTGTGAAGTTGCTAAGATCAGGCATTATACTGTTTTGTATGCTTGTATACCAATACCAGGACTTGAACTCAGGGCCTGAGCACCATCCTTTAGCTTTTTTGCCCAAGGTTGACATCTACACTTCAGCCATAGCTCTGCTTCCAGGTTTTTAGTGGAGATAAGAGTCTCGTGGACTTTCCTGCCTAGGCTGGTTTCAAACCACCATCCTCAGATCTCAGCCTCCTGAGTAGCTAGGACTATGGTGTGAGCCACCAGTGCCCAGTGTCAGGCACTGTATTTATTATTATTATTATGCCCTCTGTGATCCCCTCCATCTCTGGAAAGTGCTAGCACTTAGTAGATCTGTAATAAATATGTATGGAATGATCTGATGAAGGAATCACAGTGTTCTTGCTGAACCTCACCCCCTTCTGGACTGTGGGGTCTCTGCCTGGTCAGCCCCAATCGTGGCCTCCAAAGGTAGACCTCCAAAGGCAGTCCCCCAAAGGCAGTCCCCTCTCATTGGCCACTGTGGCTTCGACAAAAGCCACAGTGTACGCACGCCGCTCAGCCAGCTCCCTGATGCCTGTGTCTATGCTGAAGGCCCTCCCTTCCACGTCTGCTGCTCCTCTGCTTCTTGTCTGCTACAGACCCCCTGAGCCAAAAGCAGAACTGGGGCCTCCTGCTGCTTTCTCCATGGAAGCTCGTTGCAGGCCAAGAGGGAGTGGATCCAACCAGGGCTCTGCTCTGACCCAAATAAAAAGCTCATCCAACAGTTGTTTATGAGCTCCACGCCTGGAGGGAGAGGCCAAGATTTCTAATTACTGAACAACGAGGCTTTGATCAGACTTCATAAAGAGTCATTTCTAAGTTATGTGGTGAGGCCCCCAGGGGCTGGGAGTCAGAAGGCTCATTTGATTTTTTTTCCCTTTAATTTCCTTAATGAGCAGATGGATAGAGCTGCTAGCTAGCAAATAATTCACTGTGAATAGACCCATTTACTCTGGATGTGACAGAGATGGGTTCCAAGATGGGACAATGTGTTGTCACCAAGCATGTAGCAGGGTAAGCCCAGCTCTGCCTCCTGTTTGCTCTTCCATTCCTGCGGAAAAAGTGACAAAGAGCAGAGGCTACAACCCATGTGGGCTCTTCTTCCCTGTCTGAAAGGTAAGGATGACGGTAATGGTGGCTGCCTCCTGGGGCTGTTGAAATAACAGTATTAAGTCATAGGTTTAGCCATAGTGGGGTTCAGGGGTTCAGAGTGTACTCACTGAGCCTCCTGTCTGCCGGATACTAGGCACCTTGGCTGAGCAGAATTAAGCGGACCAGACCCAGCTCTGGTCTCCATTGCTGAAACCTTGTGCCTCAGGTCTGGTGAAACAGCTGTGTTAGGTATGCCCAGAACAGTTCCCTCTCCTCCCTTCCTCTCCATGAAAGACAGCACAAAGCCTTACCACAAATCACCTGCCTAAAACCAGTGATCACCTGACTGTGAGTCAGCAAAGGGCCCCAGACTCTGAGATCACTTCCTCCTCCGCTGAGGTCACTTCCTGAACCACCCTGGGTCACGCCTCCTTCGAACAGTGAGAGGTTGCCCAGGCTCTGAATCATTTCCACTTCTGCTGTGGTCCCTCCTCCCCCAGCCCTTCCCTATATAATCCCACTCAATTGTAAATCCCACCTTCTTCTGCTCTCCCTCGCTCCTTTTTTCTTCTCTCCTCTTTTTTTTCCTTTCTTTTTCTTCTCTTCTCTCCCTGCATGCCTCCATCTTGTGTGGGCCAGCAGTTTGCTTTCCCCCAATAAACTCTGTTCTTCCTGAACCATGTGGCGGTCTCCTTTTGGCAAACCTTACAAGCTGGACTAGATCCAGCTCCCCTGCTATGGGCCCCTGGGCAGATTGTCTCTGAACTCTGTGCCCTTGCCTCTCAGATGAGGCTGAATCGTTGCACTAGGTGAGGAGGAACCTGTAAGATACTCCCCAAGCATCTGTGAGCACCTAGAGGTGCAACCAGGGTCTGTAACTGGCAAACACCATGGCCATCTACTATGGTTTGAATGCAAAATAGCCTCCCACCAACTCATGTGTTGATAGAAGCCTCCCTAGGGCCTAGAGTCCCCCACCTCTTGTACCCAGTTGCCTTACTTCAGCACGGGGCTCTTGTTGGTGTTACAAAGCCCACACATGGGTCAGACATGCTGTTTGCAGGCTGCAGAATCCACACTTATGTATAATTCCCATGTTCCTGTGGCCGGCAGGATAGAGATGCAGAATTGACCCTGAGGCCACACCAGGACAACAAAGCTCGCTTGTGCATTAGCTCCACTCCTGTTTCCCAGCAGCACAGAGCCAGCTCTTGTCTCTACACCTACGGACTCACCTGACTGAGGATGGAAAGTTCAGGGAAAAAGTTATGTCACTATGGAACTGTATGGACTTTCTTTTCCTGTCACTGTTTCCTCAACCAAATGGTTTGAGCCACTGTTGGCACAGTATAACCTGCAGAGTCATCTAGAGATTACCTAAAGTAGATGTGGGTGAAGTGCCCAGTTTTCAGATGCCCCCTCACAGACCATCAGAGACTACGATCAATGCAAACAGCAAAGAGTCGTTTATTGCAAGCTCGAGTTTGGTCCTCCATGCACTAAGTAACCGGTGACGCTAAGAGGCTCAGAGCAGAAAATTAGCACACCTTTTATAGTATCAAACAAACAAGTTTAGGGAGTTTTCACACAAGCAGGTTCACAAGTTCAGCAAGTTCACAAGTTCAGGGGCTTTAAGTCCACCCTGACCGCACTTCCCTTTTTCTGATGGAACACTTAGGCAACTGTTCTGTTCCTTAGTGGGCAGGGTTGGTGGCAACCTGTGGTTTTTCCAAGAACTGTTTTTTTCTTTGGGGGTTACTCTGAGGGCAGCACAGCTACAGGTTGGTGGGGTTAATCTTAAAATGGAGTCACTTTAGCTCTTCAGTGGGATACTGGAAGGGTCTGTGCAAATGCTATTTCATGGAGGGGACCTGAATGACCTCAAGTTTGGGTATTTGCAGGGGCCTGGAACCATTCCTCTGCAGATAATGAAGGACGATTTTTACATACTAGACCCAATGTGTGCTTATAACTCCACCCTGACCAAAGAAGATTGCAGCACTTATTTAGCGCTCAGTTATCTGCTTGTCAAATGCCCCAAACCCAGTGCTTCTCACACTGCCTGTGCCCATGAGAGTCTTATTGGGATGGAGATTCTCATGGAGGTAGCCTAGGTTGAGCTAAGACTCTGCATTCCTAGACACCACTGCTGGTCCTCAAAGCACTCTTTATTGGGTAGTGAACTCAAGAACTCAAGTCCAGCTCCACAGGGGTAAGTGTTCTCAGTGCTGCCATCTCCTGGAACAGTGGATGTATATTAGGTATTTGTCACATGAGTGTATTTGGTCATGGATCATCAACTTGATCTAGATTTGATCAATTGAGAAACCCAACCAATTCTACATTATCCCAATAACCAAGCCAGGTGCTGGTGGCTCACACCTGGAACCCTAGCTACTCAGGAGGCTGAGATCTGAGGATCTGAGGATCAAGGTTCAAAGCCAGCCTGGGGAAGCAAAGTCTGTGAGACTCTTATCTCCAATTATTTACCAAAAAGCCAGAAATGGAGGTGTGCTTTAAATGGTAGAGCATCAGATTTGAGGGGGGAAAAAGTTCAGGGACAACTACCAGGCCCTGAGTTCAAGCCCCAAGACTGGCACACACACACACACACACACACACACACACACACACACACACACACACACACAGAGTATTCGTATCATATTATTACTTACAATAAATGTAATATTAATATAATACTAATAATGGTATAAACTGGACACAAGATATACAGGAACTCTGTTACCTTTTTCTGTTCAGGACTGGTTCTCTACTACTTGAACCACACCTCCACTTCTGCTTAATAAGGTTAATAAGAATCTCTGGAGCTGGGCACTGGTGGGTCATGCAAGTAATCCTAGCTACTCAGGAGGCTGAGATCTGAGGATTGCAGTTCGAAGCCAGCACAGGCCAGAAAATTCATAGGACCCTTATATCCAATTAACCACAAAAAAAAAATCTGGAAGTAGAGCTGTGGCTAAACTGGTAGAATGCTAGCCTTTGGTAGAGCGCTAGCCTTAAGCACAAAAGCTCAGGGACAGCACCCTGAGATTCAAGCCCAGGACCAACATACACACACACACACACACACACACACACCTCTAGGATTTGTCTATTCAGGCTGGGGAATGGCTCACCTAATAGAGCATCTGCCTAGCAAGCAAGAAACCCTGCATTCAAACCTCAGTATCATCTGAGAGAGAGAGAGAGAGGAAGGGAGGGAGGAAAACGGAGAGAGAGGGAGATACAGAGGGAGGGAGGGAGGGACAGAGAGAGAGAGAGAGAGAGAGAGAGAAAGAGGATGAATGCTGGAATTGAAGAACTAAAATCCCCATTAGAAATAGAAACCCAAAGCTAGGCATCAGTGGCTCACACCTGTAATCCTAGCTACTCAGGAGGCTGAGATCTGAGAATCATGGTTAAAAGCTGGCCCGGGCAAGAAAGTCTGTGAGACTCATCTCTAGTAAACCAGAAAACCAGAAGTGGTGCTATGGCTTAAGTGGTAGAGTGCTAGCCTTGAGCTGAAGAGCTGAGGGATAGAGCCCAGGCCGAGTTCAAGACCCACAACAAGAAAGAAAGAAAGAAAGAAAGAAAGAAAGAAAGAAAGAAAGAAAGAAAGAAAGAAAGAAAGAAAGAAAGAAAGAGAAAGAAAGAAAGAAAGAAAGAAAGAAAGAGAAAGGAAGGAAGGAAGGAAGGAAGGGAGAGCCCCAACACAGATTCCTCACACAACAGAACACTAGACCTGGGTCCTGAACTCTTCTTGCCGGGCTCCTGTCTACTGCTTCCTGGCTCTGACACACTGATCTCCTACTCTGAGTGAAAGGCTGGGAAGTTCCCTCCCAGGCCTGCCCACGCCCACATCACTCAGGCTCCAATCCATCTTCTCAGGGGATGCCAGCCTCCAAGGCTTTGAAGAACGTCATTCTTGGCTCCTGTCCAGGCTGAAGAGAAGAGATTGTTACATGTTGATCTGTCTGCTCTCTGCAGAGTTTACA